GGAAGATACCGACTCTGATGCGGCCGAGGACACAGTCCCTGCCAAGGTCGAGTATGTATACGGCAGGGGTCGATTCAGCGTCATTCCGCCTGAGGGACTTGACCAGGCAGTTGAAACTAGCTCGAAGCTATTTACCACAACACAGGATTGGGAATTGCCAGCTATCGAACGGCTGCTCAAGAGCATCTCCGAAGCCATGAAGATTGGCGCACCAACCTGGGTACAGACCATTACGCTCGACATGATAGAGATCATGGTGCAGTCGGACTATCTCTTCTTGCACAAGAACATGCAGATACTGGTCGGCTTCATCTTTCCTGTTGCACCGGCGCTTGACGCTATGGCTGACAATCATCATTGTGAGCGATTGACGACACTCTTCGATGCGCTCAGCACCCACAACGGTGTACAGACCGTCCAGGATCATGATACCATCAAAGACACCCGCCGAAAGTTGGGTAGAGGCGTGCACAGTGCAGCAACACAGCCCTTGGGCGATCTGCTCGAAGAAGATGACCTCTTAGGTGCTATCTCCAAGCTCGAGATCGACTGAATTCTTCGTACGAAAACGTGGTTTCGGATTATCTTGGCCAGTCTGTTCGACATATAAAGGGTCGGCAAGAAAGAGGTGACAGGCGTGGGTGTAGTCGGGTCAAAGGCGCATGCTGTTCTTCGTTGACGAGGAGGTTGGGTCTGGCGGGGACTTAAGGGGATCGGCAAACCTCTAGCGGATTACGTCAGATGGTCAATGCATGTCGCGCACCTTACGCGTGCTCACAATCCCATCGCGCACTGCCAGCTCCAACATCGTGATCTTTAAGCGGTCTGGACTGCACCTCATCGCACCTGCATGCACACTTCACTCATGACGACATGCGTACCCACTGATTGAGCTTACTAGTGGACGAATTGAGCGGATGAGTACGGATCCTCTGCCGAAACGAGCCGCCACGCTATGACGATGATCATCCACCCTGCTGCAATTTCGATAAACATCTTTTGACAACCCATTTCTCCGGGGAACCGTATCAGTACCACCTGCGCATACCATACTGTCCATCATCCGTATCGACTGAGCCTCATCCTCCGTCTTGAGGTCAGCGACATCCCCTAATCACCTGCGCAACTAGCTGCAGCTGTCTCCATTATGACGGAACAAGAAACCAAGAAAGGCGGCTTACGCGCCATTTTTGGCATGCGATCAGGGAAACAACCAAAAGAGCCGGCTACGCGGAAGAAACTTTCCAAGAAGGGATCACGAAGCGATATGCTCGGAAAGCTTGACTCAACCACCAACGTAGCGAACCCCAACCGCCAAGACTCTGGCAGCTTCACGAACGAGAGAACCGATCTTTCAGACAACAGTTTTGGCTTACCTACCAATGAAGACATCACTGGCCTTGCACCGCATGCGTTGCGTGATCATCCATATGCTGCTGTTAATGCTCTCATGGACACCAGCAACGCCTACCTACAACCTGGGCAACAAGCAGCCGATTACCGCCGCAACTCAGAAGGACAACCACAATATGCCGCACCTTTATATCAATTACACAGCTCGAGATCTGCATCAATACCACAGTCGGGCAATGAGCAGACTCTACCATACGCGCCATCGAGATCGCAGCCTTCAAAGCTGACCAAGTCTCATCGCGCGCCTTCAAAGCATGTCAAGGCCGATGACATTCTTGACAAAGATACCGGAGAAAGAAAGGATCTGACAGACATGATGCATGCTTTCACGTACATTGATGGTGTCGATACGATTGAGGAAGAACGAGATGATGTATCTTTACTCTATGATCCTACGAAGCCCGACGGAACAGCATTACTCGGCAGCGCATCGCCTGAAGTATGGCTTCATGTTGCGGACTCCCTATCACCACTCGAAGTTGCCAACCTATCCTCTACATGCCGCACCATGTACGCTCGACTAGGTAGACACCCCTACAAATTGCTCCTGGATCCGCTCCATCGGCCGCAACGGCTCGACTTTCTACTTTCCATGGACCACAAGATGCCACGCCATCTTTTCTGTTTCCCATGCGCACAGTGGCATTTGCGCATTCAGCCTGGTATGGAGACAATGAAGCCTCCCAATGTTCTCAATCCACTCTTTGAGTGCCCCAATCGAACCAACGTTCATATTCCTCCACCAAGGCTCCGCATTAGCGAAGGTCGCACATTACCATTCGCATTCGCTCAATTAGCCCGACGTCATTGGGCCTACGGTGCAGATTACGGTATTCCTCACCAGTCGCTAGGCCGCCGTTGGAAAGACACCTATTCGACCTGGAGGCATGATTCTACCTATCACATTACCGATAAAGGTCACCTATTGATGCGCATCCGATCACAACAGTACGTGGAAGGGGGTATGACAGATGCAGCAAAGCGTATGCTTTTGTTCAGCCGTGGAGACTTCACCCCCTACTTCAGCGTTTGCGCACATTGGAAGCACGGGCTGTTAACATCGATACCTAAATGCGCATTGTCGCATATTCCTCATGTTCACGAATCCGAAACGACAGCCCTCGACAAGTTCCGCGAACGTAGCATAGGGAAAAAGGCTGTTGGCATGGTCAACCTCTGTTCCATATGCCGACCAATGCGCCGCTGTCCCAGATGCCCGACTGAATACCTATTCGAACTCAAACTCGTTGAAGACAAGAGCGTGCGAGGCAACGGCCCTGAGCGCTTCAAGCAGGCTCTCATCGTAACGCGATGGAGTGATCTAGGCCCTGCGCGCAGCCCTGAGGACCCTGAATGGAGTGCTATCACTGGTGATAACCAGGACTACGACAGTTTCAGGGAGATCGGACGAAGAGCTGTTAGTGGTGTTTTTGAGAGTGCGTTCACGGACACGATACCCGGGCAGCGGATTATGAGTATGAATCCTATGGACGTGAAGGCGAACGAAGAGAGCGGAGACTGGTATTAGTCTACATTCATGTAATGATTAATGTTCGCGATAGCATGGGACGACCCGTATAGCGACTTAGCGATCTCAGGATAGTGCATTCGTCATAACCGCGCTCTCCTACAACCCTAATCTTTTACAAGGGTATCACATTGCGCCTCCAATACACCCTATAATATATCCCCTACTCCACGACAAGCCCTCAACTCCTCTTCATGCATCGCTCCCACGCTGATACACGCTAAACTCCGCGCTTTGAGTAGCCTCAACGCCACACCCCGCACATGCGAAACACCACCCCAATGCGTGCGCTCAACTACTACATTCCAAAAATCTTCGCCAAGCATTTACGGCGCCCGTACCACCTTCCTCCCCGTAACCTCATAACGCTGCAACTCCTGGAGAATCTTCGGAGAGTCGGCAAAGTCGTAAACTTCGACCTTCGGTGTGATCTTGCCCTGCAAAGCCATCTGCAACAGCTCATCCATCTGCTTGGCGCTACCGGTTGAGGATCCTCTGATGACAAGCCCTGGTTTTGTTAGCACTAGTCCTGTTCCAATCGATTTAGGTGCAGGAGCGTACCTCTGTTAGCGATATGAATAGGGCTCATAGGAAACATGAACGTATCCGGTGGAAGTCCTACGCAAACAAACACGCCACTATTCCTCGCCAAAGCAGGAGCTTGAAGATACGCTCTTTCGCTGCCAGCAACACAGATAACACCATGCGCGCCTTCTCCGTCCGTAAGATCTCGCACGGCTTGCAACACATCCTGCTTGGCGTAGTCCACGAAAGCCACGGCGCCCATCTCCTTCGTCAGCTTCTCTTTCTCGGCACCACTGTCAATCGCAATGACTTTGTATCCCTTGATAGTAGCAATCTGCACACCGATATGTCCAAGACCTCCTCCAGCACCAATTATAGCGACGAAGTCACCGGGGTTGACCTCAGGCATGAGTTTTGACACAGCGCCTGCGAGACTGAGACCTGCGCAGAGGAGTGGCGCTGCGATTTCGCTCTTGACTCCTTCCGGGATCATAGTAACGAATTCGGCATCTGCGACTACGTACTGCTGTAGCGTACCCCATACGCTTCTTCCAGTATTCTTCTGCTTGGCGCAATGGTTCTCTTTGCCTTGTTTGCAGCTACTGCATTCTTTACACGCGTTCCACAGCCACTTTATTCCTACTCTCTTCCCCAGCAAGTCTCCTGACACTCCCTGACCCAGCGATACGACAGTGCCAACGCCCTCATGCCCGGGCACTTCAGTGTACTTCCCAGGCGAAACGAGGTTGTGGCAGTCGCTGTGGCATATGCCGCTGTATTCGAGCTTTACGAGGAGTTCGCCGGCCGAAGGGGATTGGACTTGTACATCGTTGCGGATTTGAAGGACGCAATCCGGACCGGGGTCTTGGATCCAGCCTGCGGTTTGTGTTTTGGGGATTGACTCGGTCATTTCGTCGCGTTCAGGGGGAGGTGGGGTTTTTGGTGGGGTGCTGTGCCGGGGATCAGCGCTGTTATTGCGTGGCAAGGAGGCGGCTGTACAACTAGCACCAGGACGACGAGGGGAGGGTTCAAAATTCAAGCAGCTCAATGCGCACACAACAAGAAGACAGAATTGAAAACGAAAGAAATGCCGATAAGCAATGGGCCGACGGCAATGGTATCAGAAGTGGTGACGGTACCCCGCGGCAGCCCCACCATCGGCCTTCTCCGACACTGCCAATCGGAGCGCGTCGACCTCCGCATTTTGGACGCGGCTGCCTCATCCGGCTAAACATCACTTGTGCCACTTTTCTATCTTCTTCAATCTCCTCGAGGACAGATGTCCAATCTATCAAGGTTTGAGAAGATGTCGATGGGAGAAGCCATGTACAAGATGTCAGGATCTTGATGAGGGCGTTAGGATGCATGAAGAGACTTCGATATTGATCAGATGACTACAAGGTTGGTGGCATTGCTTTAATGACTGTCTGAACTAGACATTACTTCCTCCATCACTGTATCTGCGCCCATCGCTGCTGTGCGATGTCATCCTCTACCAGCCGATCAGATATAGATTGGTCCGCACTGAGAGTTATCAAGTGTCCTCTTCCTCGGGCGTCACCACTTTGCCTTCGCCTTCGATCCTCATCTCAGCCAGCATGTCATCGACGCGCTGTCCTCCGCCATCTCTGGTCATATCTTCCGTATCTTCGCTTCTTTCAATCCTCGGTTTGCCCTTGTTCTCCATAGCTTCTTTGTCTTTTTTTCATCTGGACAACAGCCCAAGAGTAAGACATGCTCTTCATCCAATTGCCGGAGCCTCGCTGCCTTGGTACATAGCTGCCGTATTTGTCCTTCGTCTTCCACTTATCCCACAACATATGAAGCAGCCCTTGGGAACCAGGCTCGAGGATTTGTAGGTGTTCAATCTCGTACCATCCGATGAACTTGAATGATCGGCTAGCACGCGGGACAGGCTGAGAGAAGACGGCAATTGGAGAGTAGTCGATGAGAACTCTCTCGTTCTGGCGATTCGATAGCGGCTCAGTGCTGGCAGGCTCCGGTGTTCCACCCCATGAACTCTCCTCATAATCCTCGTCTGCGACTTCGCTGCTCGTTGGTAGCATAACACCTCCGTCCTCACCCGGTTCGTCTAATCGTTGTGTAGGTACTGCGACGGCGATTACTGTTTTAGGCTCGGAAGGAGGTGTGGCTACCGTGAGAAGGTTCAGGTTGCTCTTGACGAATATAACTCCGTCCTCGTCCCACTTCGGGTTCGCGCCGTTGAACAACAGCACCCACGATAGACCGTTCGGGTTGGTCGCGGAGGAATGGAGGGTAGCGTTATGCGCATCTTCGGTGACGGCTCCCTCTCCCCAGAAGTAGTTGTGGATTTCCTGGACCGTGTACAAGTCGTCATCGGATCGCTCCTGTGGCTTCGAGCTGGGCACCACGGATGGTATTGCGACAGGTGTTGGTGGCGCGTCTGATACCGTTGTAGATTTTACCTTCTTCCGAAGGTGTGGCGGTACATAGACGGTCTCCATCTTGTCGTCGCCTTTCGCGATTGGGAGCGGTGTCGAAAGGTTGTGCGACGAATGGGTATCTACGCGTCACATCATGGCCCCACTTCACGAGCCCACGTGGGCACGCGCCTCCTCCTCACTCCTCCCCTTCACCAAAAAGATCAAGTCGAGTTGTCAACTACATGACGTCAATTAACGACGGAGTTCGAGACAATACGGGTGCCTTGTAGCTTCACAGTCTTTTGCTCTGGACGACAGTAAGGTGCTGGTAGTCTGACTATCGCCACGCTACTTGGTCATCACTGAGATATGCTTGAGGAAAAATGATGTAGTTGTCTAGATATGTCCGAATTCAAGGCTTCTTTCTCGTTTCCACCCTTCCCCAAATGATGTGGTGAATGCGAGTTCGATGTGAAAGTGACTGAGGATATCATCATCTAGTAGATAGTAAACTTCGAGCGATTTTGAACCCAGAATTCTACCCTCTCACACAACCGCAATACCAGAACCTCTTTGCAATCAAATAGCATTTCTCTTTACGCTACTAACCATCAAAAGTAGTATACAATGCCCCCACCGCAAACGCAAACGGGCGAGCCGACCAATCTCGCTCACCAGATCTTCACCAAGACCGTCCGCTCACTACACCTAGACCGCCTCGCCCCACCTCGATTCCCTCTCCCCCACCCAATCACCATAACAATTACACCACCTACACCAACCCCCTCTCCCACACCCTCACTCTCCAACATGTCTTGGACCACCATCGAGCTCTCCAATTACCCACCAAAGCTCACCCACCGAGACGTGATCTTACTCTTCCAGGACTTCACGATCTCGCCTGACTTTGCGCTCCCCAACGTCAAGAACCTCGCTTATCCGCTACGCACATTCATCAAGATCACCGGAGAGGGGGAGGCAGAGCGCGCGGTACAAGAGCTGTGTTGGAGCAAGGTGGGCGGTCGCCAGATCAACGTTAGAATGGTTGAGAAGACGGGTCACGAGGAGAAGGACGTCGCTGTTGCGGATGTGGCTGATGAGATGAAGATTGGTATCCTCAGTACGTTGTTACATTGTCACTTCGCTGATACTGAACTAACATAACCAGACACTGCGCGCGTCTACAACCCGCATCTCGCCCTCAAGGTCCTCGAGATCCGCGAGTGCATGCAGGGTACATCGAACTTCGCTTTCCTGCAAGCTCGCGATGTAGTCACGGTGTACAGCGAGCCTGGTGCGCATGTGCAGCCGGTTGATAACAAGGCGAAGTGGGAGCTTGTTATGGCCGGTCGCTCGGAGGGTTGGAACTGGAAGATGAAGGATGGAAGTGGAAGGCTTGCTGCACTGAAGCATCTGCAGGATACGATGGAGAGGCAGGGTGTTATGCGGAAGCTGTGGGGTCAGTGGGAGGGTAGCAGTGCGCTAGACGTTGTCCAGAGGTAGCTTTGGAAATGGAGTGGAACATGAACGAGAATTTGTATATTGATCGCTCGTAAGCTCGGAGATGGCTATGAGAACTCGACAAGGCGAATACTACCACACGAGGCAATTTTCACCGGAATCACTCCAGCGCTGTAGCCAATCGTTGTGTATGAAAGTGTTTCGATGTCTGAGAGTTCCACTTCGTCCCCAAATCTCGGTTCCTGACTATTTTGGTAGCACGATCTTGCTCTTCGCTTGAAGTGCTAAGAATATGTCGACAGAGAACGTCGGATGCTCTCTGGCCATGAGAGCAGCTTCTACAGTTGTTCCCAACCATCTCATGCAGCGGTCAACAATGTACCAGGTGATGACACCGCTCATTGCATCATCGACCGTGATACAGGTTTCGTAGTGTGTGCGGATGATACTGCACAACTGCGTAGAGCCTACCCACGCCTCCTCGAGATTTTGGCGCCAAGTTTCGGTAACATGATCGCACAACGCTGGCGCATCGTACTTGTCAGCGAGGGCGTAAAGCTTGATCGGCGCTAGAAGGTGCTTCTGGAAGTCCTCCTCTGTGGGTTTGTCTTTGGTGTTCCCGCTGAATTTGCACACTGGTCCCAACTTGTGTCCCGTAGTGTAAAAGAACCGCAACATGCGCTCGAAGTGATCGGGATCGTCGTCGTGTATGTCAATGACATTAGCAGTAGCCTCCTGTTACTCGATGTCAGCATTAGCGCCTTGATTGTGACTTAGCAAGCCCTCTACCTTGAACCGGCCGGTAAAAGCTCGCATGAACCACTTGGAGTGCGCTGACAAGATAGCTTTATGCGCGAAGTACTCTTTGGTCTCGCCTTTGTAGATTTGACGGATCTTAATGTCAGAGAGAATGGGATCGTTGAAGAGCCTGCGCAACACAAGAGGTCAGCGTCAGGACCTCTAAATGTGGAATTGTGACACTTACGACATCTCTTCTGGCTGCGAAGGTGGCGCCATACTTAGTACTTGGCATGCGTCTTGGGCTTTGGTCGAGATACAGGAGTGGTAAAGTTATTGGGGACAGAGGTAGAGCTGCTAAACACCAGCGGAGCTAGTCTCGGTTGTTTGCACTTGGAAATCGCGGAAGACTCTGGCGACTAGCAAACATCGGCAGTGGCGTGAGCGGTGAACGTGGCAAGGTGAGAGACAGGAAGGAGCGGCAGCGAGTGAGAGCATGTTGGTGTTTGAAACATAATTGCCAATGAGACAAAGAGGGGAAGAACACAACTAAAGTTCGTAACAAGCATCTCACTTTATCAACCTCGAATAGGTTTTCATGACTATGTTCTCGCGAAGATCAACATATCCTCGTCCGTACCTCTCATATCAAAGATATCTTTCCGACAAAGCGGACAGTCATGAGCCCTCACATACGGTCCGTTGACCTGCTTCGACAGACAGCCTTCACAGAACATGTGGTTGCAGGCGATAAGTCGACGCATGCTCCGCTGTGGCTCGAAACAAATGCAACATTCCGTATCCACCACAGTCGAAAAGATGTCTAAATTGAGAGTCTGCGAGATCGTCGGAGGGCTAATCACCACGTCGGCAACTGGCTCAGTATCATGTAGTCCTTGATTGTTTGGCATGTGCTCGGTGCAATAGTACCGGTCAAGCACATTGCTTTCGTAGAGAGCCCCAATACGCATACATCGATGTGAATTCCCGATAGATTGACCTTGTGGTCTCCCAACGATGGCTTCGCAACGATCTGCATGTGAGTCGCAAAACCATTGCTGGCTTTCGGTGTCAACGCAACTGCCACGTCTCCAGCCATCCTCCGTACACAACGGAAGCCCCATTCGCGTGTCCCCGATGCAGTAGCTGCACAGCCACTCATCTGAGAAGGCGTAGTATATGAGAGCCGGGTTCGGGCAGCCGCGGAGCCGCTCGCAAACGTTGGGCCGGGTACGCATATTTTAGATGATTGGTTTGAAGTATACAAGCCCACCAAGGTAGAATAGGATGTAGCGGAGTGCAAGTATTCCGAAGCGATGACTGACTGACAAACAAAGGGTTTTCGCACAGAATGTCGATAAAGGCAGGGTCCTGAGGCTGAGATCCGACGAAGCAACTCTGGCTGCTGTCGCTGCAGTCTAGCCATTCACTCTTTCCGGACATCATGGCAGACGGTCAGAGCTCCTTTGAAGTTGACAATGTCCCTACAGCAGCGAAGGCGGTCCCGATGTCATGCGTCGTGATTGCTGTGCGGTAGCACTTCCGTAATGTACATGCTAGCGAAAAGTTTCTCTCAGGTTTGAGTGGCAGGCGCGCTCGTGAGGACGTGATGCACCGACCTGCGTTCTCTTAGCGACTGCTTCGTAGTCAATAACCCGTAGAACGCGAACACGATGCCAGTGCTCACGTGTCAAATGCGCGTTAAATTCCACATTGTCCTGTGAAAATATAAAAGACGCGTCAGAGTCAGAGTAATGCCAGCGCATCGCGTCGTGGTGATGGAAATGGACGGCGTAAGAATGTTGGTTCGTGGCTCGACCTGAGCGCGCCCTGCTATGACGTCACCACCTTCCACGTCTTCATGACACTGAGAACGAATCCCTAAGGTGTCAGTAAGTTGAGACCTCCACGTCCTTACATCAATATGAAATCGAATTAACATGATCGATATCAGAGGCTTCGCGAATTAATCACGAGGATACTGGTGATAGTTGCCCAGTAGTGTCGTGGAATGAGTGTATCCAAAAAACAGACTGGTAGGTGTCCGGGTTTGCTGTTGATGAAAGAACATCGAAAAACATGCTGCTTGGATAAGTAGTGTTGGACAACCACTTAGTGAAACGATAAAAAAAAAAGACAGCATGAACGTCTGTGAACGGCAGAGACGAATTTGATCAGTGGATGAATACGTGCATCCGCCAAGTCCAAACTGACAAACACCCGGCAATGAACCCTCAATTACACACCAGCGTAGCAAGAAGTCCAAAAATGCCCCCTTAATCGATCACATATAGGGAAGGAAGAATGAGCCAACCACACGCCTCAGAACCCGCGGTGCTCCTGCTTCTTCGTTGGGTGCTCCCAACCTTGCGAGTGTAGCCCTATCCCCGTGAGCCCATATTGGCTCTTTATCGTATCTGACACTCGTTGTGCTCGACGTGCTTGGCGCATCCAACACAATGCACCTAGCCGCTTGATTGTGTTGCCAGTCTCGCCATTGGTATTCCCTTTTGATCATCTTTCCCGATGCCGCACGAAGATCTTCCCGACAAATAAGCATGCGTGGTGGGTGACAATTATTTTGTGACCAAATAAGCTTGGCAGCATCGACGGGGACAGCTGGGTAGAAAAGGTGCCATGGTGCCGTGGGCTTGTCGGCGACATCCGCTGTTCGTGCCATAAAGACTGAGATGGGCGACTTGGGTACGTGATTGGAGAGTCTGTTGGCGATGAGATTTTGCGCGTCGTGCAGCGAGAATGCATATATATAGGTAAAGCCGGTGGGATCCGTATAGCGGAAGAATTCTGTTGGACGGGGTGGCGGCAAAATTAATGATCGCGTATTGCTTGCACTCCCAGCCGGAGCTACATCATGTATATTTGAATGAGGATTTTGGCTATCCATGTTTTAGCGATGTGATGTGCTATGGTGAAAGAGGTGCAATGTTTCCAAGTTTGATGTACATCGTTCGCTTCTTTCTATTTGGACGCGCTTCCTGCCGGATACCGGGGAATGAGCAGCTGTTGCGAAGGCGCGAGGCCTCGAGGAAGCCGCGTTGAACGCGCAGAAGGTGACATCGATGGACGAGTATCAAGACGAGTTCATCGATAGAGCTGGGACAATTGCGTACGCACAAGGACCTGATCTATCCAGCACAGCTTTCGAAGGGTTCAAAGGTGATGATCCACCGCAAGGATAGCGTCTCTTTGTTCCCGACGCCGTTGCAGTTCGGCCGTAATGCGGGATGAGGTTCCATGATCTGTCGTCCCACGTATGCAGACAGCCGCGGCCGGTCGTGCTTGGCAGGAACGACTGGCTAGATGGGTGGTCGGATTGATTTGGTCGGAAAGCCGTCTGGCCTAACACCACGGAAACACATAGTCATGCCAGTGCAAGTCTGTAGCACGTGAGCGTGACTCAGCGAGCACGCAGATGTGTCGTTGGGTGACAGTCGCGTGGCAGGAGCGTTTAAGCTCCTTCCCGGTACGCGGGTGGGTCTTGGCGATGCAGGGATGATGTGCCGACGAAGCGTGGGAACCTGGAAATCTGACGGCATCAGCACAAGACACCAAGCGAAGCAAATACGGAGCCCCGCAGAGCGTCTGGAGAGAGCCTACATCGAGTTTGCTAGATCGTGATCCTCCTGTTCGCCCTGAATTTTTCGTTAGCCACAGCCGCTACGACGCAGCGACGCGATCCGGGCCTGCCGCTTTGGCCGCTTTCATCTGCCCCGACCGTTAAGTCCGCGCTTTCACCTACGTACACCCTCGCCCTCGATGCAGCAACTCTCGTAGCCCTGCGCCCGCGCTCCCTTCGATTATGTTCCGCCGGCCGACTCTCCCATCACTCAGGCACGTCGCGTGCACTCGCGACCACCTCGTTCGATAATCCTCGACTCGGTCAATGGCATACGGTTGAAGCAGCATCATGGCTCTGCCAACCCTCCAGTTCCTCGCGGGGCTCGTGCTCCTCATATACCTGCTCTCCTTTGTCCTATTCGCCTTTATACGCATCGCCACCGGGGTCTCCATACAGCGCCTGGGCTTACGGGGGCTGCGACGCATTGCCTTCACGCCCAAGGATGGCCTGCGCATCGAGATCCGCGGACTCGGCTTCACCCTTCACCGACCCACATTCGCACAACCCACGGTAGTCAGCATCGTTCTGCACGAGCTAAAGGTCACGGTCGACCTCAAAGCGCTGGGAGAGAAGCCGCGGAAGAAGACGGGATGGGCCCATTGGGCAAACGGCACTACACAAAAGGGCAAGAGCGGCCAGAACACGCCCGAGCCCGTGGCGGAGGACGACGACATGGGCGATGACGAGACACCGCGAAGCCTGACGTGGAAGCGGCTAACAGATGCCAAGGAGAAAATCAAGCGTCTGCACCGGAACATCAACTGGCTCAGGCAGGTCGATGTCGTGGCGCACGCGACCACCCTGGTCGTAGTCGACGTGGGCTCCATCCAGGTCGGCGGCCTCAATCTCGCAGTCGACACACGGCGCAAGACGGTCGATCGCAGTCGCCTCTTCAACCACCACAAGCCCAAGTCCGACGAGGAGCAGTGGCCAGCCGAATGGCTCTTCTCCGCCCGCAGTATCCTCTTCACCCCAGAGGGCAGGGAGTCGACCGAACTACTGGATCACTGTACCCTCAACGTCCACGGCTTCCTCAAGAAAGGCCTCGAGGGTCTGCGCGATGCATCTATTGCGCTCAAATTGGGTCGCCTCCTCATTCCACTCGACGATGTCAAGCTGTGCATGGAAAGGGCCCAGAAGTGTCGTGCGCCCAGCCCTCGCAAGCGTTCTCGGGGCAGTCGGACACACGTATCGCTCAGCGATGTAATGGAAGAGCTGGACGACCCCAACAGCCGCGAAGAAAACCTCGTTCGTACCGTATCCGACTCACGTGAGTTCGCCAGCTCCATCCTCCGCGGTATCCATGAATTCCAGTTCGCGATTGGCTTCCTTGGCCTCACCAAGCAGATCGAAATGGGCCACAGCTCCGAGCCTCCGGTCTACCTTAATCTCTCCATGAAAGAAGTCGGCATGGACCTCCTCCGCCTCGATCCTCGTAGCCCCGCGCATCTCATGTATTTCTCGCCCGACGACATTGCCCACCAGGCTCTTCTTGCTGCCATATCCATATCTGTCGGAATCGACAACAGCGATGGCCATCCCGAACGCCTCCTATACATTCCTATGGCGACCATGACCCTGAACACGACCCTTCCTTCTAAAACTATTCATTTCTCTAATGACAAAGATAGCGCCGAGC